CAGATTATTCACACCTTCTTTAATGACTACATTACCACTGGTCAAACTTGTAGAGGTTTGGTGTATATTTTGCATTACTTCCCCACCACTAAATTGTAGGTACAAAAAACAGTAAAGTTTACAACTGTTAATCCCACAAAACATTAAATGATATTTTGGTTCCTGAACTTCCAGATTTGGTATTTTCAACTCTACCGTACCAATAACTGTGCTGTTTAAAAACACACTCCACACACTTTATATAATATGAAGATAATTTTGGTATGAGCAAAGAAATGTGGCACAACCAACAAAAGCATATACAATATGTAAATTATACACCATATTATAATTTCAGAATTTCTTTTACATTTCTATGTGATGAATGAAAGCCTAGAATTATCAAAATGCTACAAGCAAAATATGAATCAGTTTTACTGAGGTTTGATTAAAGATAACAGAATTAAACTGAAAAAGACCTGATGAGATCACAAACACATGGGAGGATACTGAACATTGGGTCAGTCAGCAATACTCGGGTATCTATGCAAAATGTTTCAATCCAATTTAAAATTTGTCAACCATGAGCAGTGCGTGAAGTATACTTCTTCTGTATGTCATTCACTGTTCAAAGTGTACTGGAAAATACATATTCTTCAAGAAATCTGTTACCTATTTTTGTAGTGGCATTAGTTCCCATACAATTTAAGGCACAGCATGTACGACCTACATTTTATGCTAACAACAGGAAATTCTTGTGTTTAGATTTAACATGTTTTAAGAAAAATAACCTTAGCGTTCGATATTTCTTATTTTTGTATGTAAAGTAATCCATGCCCCACCCATCTCATTCTTCTCGACTTAATCACCCTGACAATATTGCGGAAGGAATATACATTTTTAAGCTCATCATTATGCAGTTTTCTCCATACCCCATCATCTTCTCTCCTGGGCCCAAATATCCTCTTCAACACACTATTCTCAAACACCTCTCAGAGAACATGTTTCGCGCCCATACCATCAGCCGGGAAGACAAAATATTTTGAACTGAGAAGTAGCAGGCATTTCCGGAATTTAGTCTCCTCCTAACTTCCTCATGAGTATAATTTTAATTTGTTATTGTTCCCAAATATTGAACTTTACCCCTGGGAAAGGACCCCAGTGCCCATTGGATAGGAGGCTGGGTGGGCCCCAGAGCAGGTCTGGACGCAGAAGCTAGAGGAAATATCCTCTGCCCATCAGGGGCCTTTGACAACTGACATAGTTTGTTGCTTGAGAAGATTCTATAAACAAATGTAACATTAAAAAATACCTATTTAGTTGCCAAGTAGTTTAATAAACGTACATACTCCCCATATGACAATAACATGTCAGCAAAAAGAATCTGATTTATCTGACTGAAACTTGAAGGCCTATCAACAGAGGTGTGACACACAGTCACGGTCTTTCATCTAATTTGTTTACAAATTATTATTATTAGACAATGGGAAGAGGGGGGGTGGCAGAGAAATGAATGTCAACAAATACTACACATTTTGCTATTTGCAGAAAATTAAAGCAAGAACTGAAAATTAATTTCAGTGCACAGTAAATAATTTACAGATGTCAGAATTTTTGACAAATCACTTTCAGTTGAATTAATAAAAATCAGTCTTCTTAGGCAAAGACTATTAAGAGTGAAATTTTCATCAGTAACAAAATACTGGAACAAGTCAATGTCTTCAACTAACAGTATCTGAACTCCCTCATATCATACGAAGGTAAGAACATTACCAAAAACACAAACATTTATACAAGTGAATGGAGCAAGAAAACAGATATTCAAACTGACAAAAACATACACTTAAAATTTACAAAACTTTTGCAAGACCTGAAATAGCATATGGAAATAAAGCCTGGGTGATTAGAAAATCAGATGCAATTTAAAACAGAAATAATATTTATGATAATTAATGGTTACACATCATTAGATCATAAAGAAATGAGACTTTTCAAAAAAATTAAGATTCAGTCAGTCAGCAAATCTATTCAGAATTAACTAGTGTATTTGAAAACATGTAAAAGGAATGTAAAATAAGAATACCAAAAGAAGAAACGTAAAAGCTGCATATGTAACAGGATGATGAACAAAAAATTAATACAGGCATACCTCGGAGATATCGCGGGTTCGGTTCCAGACCACCGCAATAAAGCGAATATCACAATAAAGTGAGTAACACAAATGTTTTGGTTTCCCAGTGCATATAAAAGTTATGTTTACACTATACTGTAGTCTATTAAGTGTGTAATAGCATTGTCTAAAAAAACAATGCGAGAACATTGCGAGAATTACCAAATTGTGACACAGATACGAAGTGGCACATGCTGTTGGAAAAATGGCGCCGATAGACTTGCTCGACACAGGGTTACCACAAACCTTCAATCTGTAAAAAACGCAATATCTGCAAAGCGCAATAAAGCGAGGTATGCCTGTATAAAGTACTAGAAGCTATATGTTAGTGACCTACTTAATGCATGAAGAGCAGATCCCAATGCCTTCTTGTATGAAAAACCCTATGAGTCTCTACATGTTTTGATGAAACCCAAAACAAGAAACACAAAAGTATTCTTTTTTCACCATGCATAAAAGCTAAAGTAAAAAAGAAAAGAAATTTCTAAACTGACTAGAATATTGTGTTCCCATCACAAATTCTGGGATTAATGCTAATAACTGGTATTCTTATAACAGGTGCAACATAAAATATTCTGGAATTACTTTGTGACTATGTATACTAAATACTGAATTTCATACAGGTATATTGTGACACATTTCTAGTCTTAGTATTCTCAACCAAGACTGCTCCAGAAATTAAACAGATCAGTTCTCTGAATTACTGAATTAATGTGGAGTCAGAAGTAATGTCAAACAACCTTACTGATACTGAAAACGTTCACACACTGGAAATACTGTCTCTGTAAGGAATTAAAAAACAGATGTTAGGTAATATACATTAAAGACATAAATTATCATTTACTCATGGCACCTATAGGAATCCATCATAAACTCCATGGCAATGCAGAATACAGTTCCAGAATCACTTTATTAGAATGTAGTTTCCAATGCAAAAGAAAAGTGAAACAATTATAGCAACAGACAGAGCAAGTAGTTTCATTTTACTTTTCTCGATGAATATTTTATTGTGTAAGTCATTAAGAAAATCAAAAATATTTGAGTTAAAATTCAAAAGCCGCAGCAGCAGCATAATAAATACTAAATTCAGAACAAGATAGCCCTCCCGTATCCATATGTTATATGCCATCTTATAACACCTCAAACAAACTTCAAAAAAGTAATACTATCATCAATGGGCTGAATTACACTGCTCTGTAAAGCACGTCATACCAAAATGCTGCAATAGTAAAAGGGCAAAGTAAACAAGTCTTACAAGAAACACCAGGACCATTACACAAGAATGACATGATCAGGGAACACATGCTGACACATACACAAACTAATATACTTTCATTTCACTCTAGGTAATGGTACTGATTAGTTTACCCACCAACAGAATCTCCAATAGACTTCAAGAATAAAAAATGCTGTAAAATCGCAATCTAAGTTGTTATTTTTCCACAATTTGGACTGAATTAACCATTAAGCGCCCCAATAACTTTAATAAATAAAGAATTTTAAGATACAAAATTTTAGGTTTGGTGTGTTAAATTATGAAATGTCAATGTTACTTTAAAATTTCTTTCCACACTTCAAATGGTCAGCTTTTTTGCATCTCAAACGTTTCATGCATTTGCCAATACTTACCCAATCCTTTTATGTTCTTTACAGCCTAATCCAATCTGATCAGTGAGGACGCTAATCAGCATATAAAAGTAAGCACACCGAACAATGTAGGCTATGAACAAGAACACCAATCGGAACTTGATTTTCCTACCCAAATAAAATTGTAAATTTTAAACAATTTCCTTATAGTACAACAACAATTGTTTTGGATGTTCTTGTGCAACATTGTTCATACTCTACTGAAATCAATTTCTTAGTACATTCTACTGGTGAACAATTCTACAGTATTCACTGCATGATTTGGTTCTACAGAATGTCACATTCACTTGCAAAAGCAAATATATATGACATGTCACACAATCTGAATTGAAATTAAACATATAAGGGAAAAAAGCTTTTTTTAATAAATTCTTTCTTGTTTTGCTAACTGCAATGATAAGCTACCCTTAAAAGAAAGTAACGCTGAATAACCTACCAGTTGAAATGTGGCCACGTTAACAAACCAGTTCCAGTAAAACACAAAGCGAACTCACTCTTCCAATATCCAAAGCACTAGATGGTTCACTGCACTGCACTGTGGACACATACAGGCAGGCAGACACAACACTTCAAGAACTTCATCTCGAGTGAGGGCCAAGGAAAATGCTAGACTATGTCCTCTTTTTTGTATATTTCTTTAGTAATGACAAAATGAGCCCCTTCAAGTCCATTACGTAGGAACATTCATTCTACAACAAATCTAGTCAACAACAGTTCTATTTAAGTGGGGAAATAACCAACCAAAAACCACACACTTGAAATTTCACTGCCCACGCATACCCGCACACCCCAGTGATGCACAAACTGTGGGACAAAATTACGCTAATAAACCTGCTCTCTGAAAACGGTGCACCTTGATATTATAAAGTTCCAGTAAGAAAAAGGGACAGGTCTCCTTCGGGCAGGACACGTCCAAGAGGAAGGAGAAAGGACTTCTATCGGACACTTGCAATCTTCATGTTTTCTTGGACGCTGAACCTATATACATACGTACGAACGTCATATAATAACTATTGGCAGGCGAGGCAGGATTGGCTCGCATGCAACATTCTGCATGAAGGTTTTGATTGATACTGAACACAACTGTATCACTCCCGTTAACGAAGCCTTGGCCACTTGAAGCACAAATGTGATTGTCCAATATGTGACTGATTCAATGAAACGATTCATCAGTCCCAAACAACTACTACAGAGTCCTGTGTACCTCCCAGATATGTGGTTGTTGTTGTTGTGACCAGCACGTCCTGGTGTACCAAATGATCTAGGCAATGGTCGAATGTGTGGCAGTGACGGAAGAACCTCTCGACATCGTACTGAACGGGATAAGCGGGGTCTCACAATTCTTGCAGCTTCCTTTGACTTACGCAGGATAGGAGTCATGTCTATCCCTTCATCCACTGGGAACAGACGACACAGCTCCTCTGCTACTCGTGGCTCTATTTCCTGCATAGTACAATTTAATAACTCTCAAACTTTCAATTTCTTTCCATACATGATGTAATTTATATAAACAGCATTGTTTTATTCACTTACCTGGCCATCTCTGCCAATTTTAACAGGTTTTCCTTCATTCCATGGATTGTACAGGTGTTGAGTCTTGTTAAATGGTAATTCTTTCCTGAAATTATTAACTAGAACTTTGCAACAATGCAGCATAAAATATTTAACATATTAAAACATTACACAGAAACGTGTCAAGGTCATTCTTGCCTTATTGTGACTGCAAGACCTCATGTGAGTCTTGATTTCTTTTCAGATGTATTCTACTTATTTTTAACAATGTTATAATTAGAAATTCATGATTCAGACACATTCTTAGCTTATACTTCTGTTTCACCATATTGTTTTATGCACTATATGTTGTTAACAAGAAACAACAAAGAGTAAGTTCACTGCAGATTGCATGCAAGTAGAATATATTTCACGAGGATATTATCTCTTTATACAGAATTTAATGCCATTTGCCTTGATTATCTTGAATACAACTTTTGCCTTATTACAAGAAAAAGTAAAATATGAGAACAATGAGTTTGGAACACCTTCCAGTGTATCATTTCTAATGGGTACTCCAAAATATTTATTCTTGAACTAATTTAGTATACCATAAGCAGGAAAATATGTTGGCACAATTCTCTACCATTCAGCAATACAATACAGTGGTAATACAAATAAATTATCAATTTCATAACTTCACCCCTTACATTAATGAAGAGGCCAATGATGACACATTTTACTACGTATTTTCTGAATATCTCCTTAAATACACAGAAATGTTAACAGACACCATGTACGTTTTCTATAATTTTATGACGATAGTTCAAACCCATTCTAGGGTGGTACATTCAATCTGGTAAGGCTCAAGATTATCTCATGTTTACATACTAGAATACGCAAACTGACAATCTTAGCTTCTGCTCCCTTAGTAAATAAGTATTCATAAAGGTGGTTTACTATTCGAAATGCCACTATGACAGTAACAACAATGGCTAGCAGGAACTCTGAATTATGGAGGGCTTGGTATTCCCTACATCTATGAAGTTTTGATTTTGGAGAATGTCAAATGGAAGAATCAGAACTGAATACAACTACTCTCATACCCTACATGTCTGACTCACATTGTAAATGTCATGTCTCTAGAACATCAATTTCTCATGTACCACTATGCTAACATACAAAAGACTTTTAAGATTGTTTACCAAAGAAACTGGAATCACCCCCTTCACTAAATCACATCTGGTGATCAACTTATACTTGCACTACACCAGTGGTCCCCAACGCGGTGCCCGCGGGTGCCATGGCTTTTTTTGGGTGCCCACGTTGTTACGGAAAGAGGTTATACTGAATAATGATGGCCGTTCAACCATGAACATTATAAAATCAAAGCGCAGATCTCGACTTACTGACGCCCATCTTGACGATTGTTTGCGGGCGGCAACATCCTACACTTCCAAATTTGAAAAACTGGCCAATGAAATGCAGAGCCAAACATCACACTAACTTCCCACTTGAGTAATAATAATTGTACTTATAAAACTACAAATTTTTGATCGCGTGGTTTCTTGTATCATTAAACGTTGTGTTGTTTTGCGTATTATTTGGTGTCCATATCTTATTTGTCCAGAGAAAAAAAAATTTGGCTTTGTTAATTGGTTGGTGCCCGCCACGATCTCAAACTCTCAAATGTGCCCGTAGGCACAAAAAGGTTGGGGACTACTGCACAACACCAACAATGTGCATCCTTTAACAACACAAATTACTCATTTTAAACACCATGATATATACAAAGGAAATAGGGGCAGACAATTTTCTCATACTACAATTACAAATTTATGCATAAAGTGCTGAGACCGACAGTGTATGGTACGTTTATCTTCATGACCTGTATACATACCAGTACTAGTTCAGAACTTGAACAGCAGCCATTTTGAACTCACCTGCAAACCCAGTCAACTTTAAAGACACCTCCCAGTGCTTTGGCAGAAAGACCAGGTGGTAGAACCCAAGAGATGGGTGGCACATCTCTCCGAGATTCGCAATCCAGGCGTGCCACTCCTGATACACATAAATAAATATAAAACCACCACACTATCAATATGTTGTGTCATATTTATGTATGCAAAACAATGTACCTCACCTGCAAATTTTCCACTCTCTTTCACAGAGAAAATCAACAGCACATTGCGCGATTCCCTAAATGCCTGGTTTAACTTTGCCTCATTCTGCGGAGGAGTAGACCACACTCCTTTCGCTTTAGACAATGTTACATTCTCAGCATTATTGCTTTTGATTACAAAAAAGCGTGCATCACGAAACAAATAATTAAGCTTTGTTATGTAATCTGGAAAAAAAATAACATAAAATTAGACAAAAAAAAGATTTAAATGGTGCTGCTTCAGTTTATTAACTACTGTTTTCCAGAACTTGAGACTTTACTTGCAATAATTTAGTAAGTGGTAAATTTTTTAGTCACTAAGTAGCAAAACAAAAGAGCTTTCATCAGTAATAGTATTAATACTGCTTCGAAAATATTCATTTTTGTGTGAACAGAATTTTTATGGGAAGAAGTTAACTTGTGTACAAATGTGTACCTGTATTATCTTTTCTCTGTATCAATAAGAATGGTGTGCATCTTCCACTTAAGAATAAAGCAATTTATTGTCATGTTTTGTTAATTCACAACAGCAGCTAATCTGCAGGTGAAATTCTATCATGTTACTGTTGAAAACAGCATTCATTTACTTGAATACCTTCATCTGTATTTACATGTAATTCATAATACACTCTATGAATACCTTTTCCTTGCTTTAATGTTTAAACAATTGCAGAAATGTTCCTACGAGACAAAATCGATGTTATACGCAGACAACAGAAATTTCCTATCACATAAATGCACAAACTGGAACTGACCTCTACTTTCAATGGGAAAAAAAAATTTTAACTCTGCAAAATTAACATATCAAGCCATTTATGGAACCCGTCATCACATGGTCTTGCCTTTTTTCCTCCTTACACTTACCATTAATCACCAACATAAATTTATTTATGTTGAACTGCCAAATATGTTACTTTCTTCATTCTCATTTGAATATAGAGATTTTCTTTAATATAATCTGAACAAATAATGACTATGAGCCAGGATAACTCAGTCAGTATAGTAACTAGCTATGGGCTGGATGACTGGGGTTCGATCCCCGACAGGGACAGAAATTTTTTTCTCTAGCCTCTGTGTCCAGACCGGCTCTGGGGCGTACCCAGCCTCCTATCCAGTGAGTATCCAGGTCCTTTCCTAGTGGTAAAGCACAGCCAGGGCATGATGCTGACCACTCACCCCATCTAGTGGCAAGGTCAGGAATGAGTACAAGCTATACAACCACTCCCTACATGGCGTGTAGCAGGACTGCTTTACTTTGATTAAACCATCATATTAATTTCAGACAGCTTGTACACAATACGTAAAAGACAAATTAATTCTGAAAATACTCAAGAAAATAGCAATTTCTATAAATAACACTGGATGTGTCCAAATGATTCTGTGGACAAATTATACATAAATCATTTTTTTAATCTATGACGGACTGAAATTAAGGTAGTGTGTACATTACCATAAGATTTCACCTTTCTCCCAGTCTTGGATCTCTTGGAACTGTGACCTATAACAATCAAAATCAATTACTATAGTGTGTTAAGCCAGTACATGGCTGCCTTTGTCAACTAGAACAAGAATGTTGCAACCTTCAATAAGTTGCTTCATTTAGATTTAATATGGGGTTCAGACGCTGTGTCCACCACCTACCCACCGCAACCTTAAAACATAATACCTCATCTGTGTCTATTAATGTTATCATTAGCATCATGTTTTGTTAATGCAACACAATAACAAAATTTTAGTTTCAGAGTAGGCAAAATACAAACATGTTAATGGTACACCAATTCTAATTAATAACCATGCATTTCTTAATTCTTGGTTGATGCAACAATATTTTATCAACTGTAGAGTACACATAGCATCAAATGACTGAAATGACAAACTGTGAAGACTTGGAAAGAAACAATCATAGCTCATTCAAAGGTAGAACTATAGCATCTGCTAAAACTGACTGAGACCCACAAAAACATCAACCCCA